CAAAAGAGCATAGAGCAGTGTAATGATCTTTAATGTTTAAGTACTTCAAATTAGGTGTATTTATCACATATGCATATGAATCTGCTACATCATGTAGCGGCGATAAATAAACCGTCAAACTCTTTAAGTAACGCACTATTATAACAAATCTCTTCACGTTGTCTTCATTGTGTCGTTTCACGACAAGATTTTGAAGTGAAGGACAGCTTGATATGAGATTACGAACAAATTCATCCCCGGAATACTTCGCATATCGAAGATGAAGCGTTTTGAGTGAACTGAAACATGCTGGGAGACAAATAGCTCCAAGAATCGCGTTCTTGAGTTTTAAAGAAACAAGGGTTTTGCTATCGCATAGTCTCCTAGATAACCTGATGTGTCCGTGATCGGCATAATGTTTGATAATTAGCTCGCAGATATTCCGATCCAGCGCGAGTTTAATCCACAATCCGATATCATCAGCTGTACATTTTGGACCAACACTAAGTCTGAGGCTTACTAGAGTAGGAGCCTTATGTAATACCAAAGCTTTCTCAACAAAGTGAAGGAAACTCTCATACTTTTTACCGTGATAGATTTGATCGTTGAACCTGAGTTTATGTACCTTCTTCCACAGAGATTTCCATCGTTTCGAAACACCACTTGTGGCAACAATATCGTTTGTTGTGGGAAGTAAAGACAATATGTGTACAAGCAGATCTTCAGGAAGATCACTGATCTTGTCCACATTGAATTGACCCCTCTGACAATTGAAGATTTTCGCTGATTCTTTCACCTGAATTTTACCTTGAAACACAAGGAAAAATCGAATGAGATTCATAAACGAAATTATAAATTAACCATGGGAACAAATATTTTCCAATTGAATCATAAATCGAATCAAGATATTTGCGAATTGGTGTGATAAGTGTAAAGGAAAAAAAAAACTAGGTTAATTTGAATCAAGCGTAAACCCTAGCAAAGCTGGAAATAAAAGAAATAGATTTCACCTTTCGTTGGTACTTCTCCAAAAGGTTTTGCAGTCACCAAACGCATCGTCGCAGATATATATGTATGAACCCTAATCCTCTTTGTCGTACTTTGATATACTTTGTTGATAACGCAAGTCTATATATATGTTACTTTTGACGGCTACCTAAGCAATGTGAAAATTATATATTAAAGAAATTTCAGAAGAAAAACATTAAAAGATAAATTAACCAATAATATTTTGATACATGATAATAATGTACTAATCTATACTATTAATTGAGAATCACTCAAACATAAGTAACTTTATTTTGGTAGATTAATTACAAAGAATGCCATTAGTATATTTGAATTTGAAAAACAAAATATATAATATCCATTTGATATTTGTTTTTTTATATAAAACAAAATCTAAAATTAAATCAACAAAATAACAACTACCCAATATTTATGGAAATTGTTTGAAGTAGTTCCCATAAAATAAAAAAATTAATAACTACCCAAGATTTATAGAAATCTTTTAAAGTAGTTTCCATAAAAAATCTAACTATTAATTTCAAAATTGTATATATGTAAACTTATTTAATTTCGTAATATATTTTAAAATATTTCCGGAAAACAAAAAAAATCAATTTAATATCATCATATATTTTCGATTTTAATTTATTTCTTTAAGAAAATATACTAATGATTAATGGAAGAATTTTTTTTTGAAATTGTAGATTTGTTAACTTATTTAATTTGGCAAGGTAATGTTAGATATTTCCGGAAGCGACAGTCTAATTAATATAATTGAAAAATAACAAAGCATAGTTTATTTTTGATTTTTAAAATTTCTATAATAAAACTATACTAATTAATTTTGATTAGTCTAGATGGAAGAAATAAAAAGCAAATTTGATTATTCCAATGTTTTAAGAAACAGTATTTTGTATTTTGAAATATAGAGTATTCCTCGAATAAATTAGATATTTTAGATTCGTCAAAATCTCAAAATATTTTGTGATTTAAATGCAATTCATAAGCCCTAGACAATCCAAACTTAATTTATCTCATGTTTTGATTTATTTTTAATTAAATATAATAATGTTAAAAAATCAGTAAATATATATTAGGCTAATAAGGCTTTATTAGTAGACTATAAAATGTTGTCCACTACATAAAAAATAACATATGTAATATATGTATCACTACATAAAAATTGTCAGACCATATAATAATATAATCAGTTTAAAGATTAATTTAGAAAATTATTATTACGACAATTGAAAAATTATCATGTGTTTTCCCATGGTTAACACACTATTGTTTTAAAACATTTATGCACAACTCTTTACTAACCATAATTTTATCCATTTACACCAAACTATTAATACACCGCATAAAATAAAATTTTTTTTGTAACACTATTGTATATCAATCAAAACTATAATATTTTCACATTTTATATATTTTTTTTACTATTTTTAGTTTAAAAGTTTTAAGATTTGTAATTTTATAAAATTTACCCCGCACGAACGTGCGGGTCAAGATCTAGTTAATGGTTAAAATATAAACCAAGCTATTTAAACCTGACACATCATATCTTAGGTTTTAATTTACTTTTATTGAGAAAGTTAAGTAAGCTATTTTAATTTTGATTAATAGATAATATTTAGATAGTTTTGATTTATTTATGAGAAATTGTTAAAAATGCCCCTTTTTCAATACCCCTTTTCAAAAATGCCCCTTTTGAGAGTCCATTTTTAAGTTTGCCCTCTTTTAATTTTTAATGACCATTTTACCCTTATTAGAAACAAAATTAGGTCCACAAATTACAAAATATTTTTTGGCGGGAAAAGTGATCCCGCAATTTTCCCGCCAAAACACTTGTAAAAAACCTTTAAAATACCTTGTAAAATTTTCCCGTAAAAATTTTTCCCGCCAAAAATTTTTTTTTGCGGGAAAAGTGATTCCGTAATTTTTTTGGCGAAATTTTTTTGGCGGGAAAATTTTTGGCGAGAAAAATTTACAAGGTATTTTAAAGGTTTACGAAGTATTTACAAGTGTTTTGTAAGGTTTTACAATGTATTTTAAAAGATTTTACAAGGTACTTATAAAGTTTTATAAGGAATTTATAACTTGTAAAAAACTTGTAAAACCTTATAAAAAACTTTGTAAAATCTTATAACTTGTAAAACCTTATAAAATAGCTTTGTAAAATCTTATAATATCTTATAGATACTTTATAAATACGTAGTAAAACCTTTTAACATACATTGTAAAACCTTA